CTTGCCGAGCAGTTTCTGTCCGGTCCGGGGTGGCACAGCTCGAACTCTGCCCGGCCCGAGTTCTGGCAGCCCTTCTCTGGGGCGAACAGTCGATCATCCCGGCCCAATGCACTGCTGGGCTTTCAACCTACTCGGTCGATATCTCGGCCCAACTCCAGATCATAAATCACCCTCTCAGTGAGCATTGATGATAACTGATTCAGATTATTCCTCCACCTTAGATGGAAGTGTGCCTCCATAATTGGGGTGATAACCTCTATTCACTTAGTTAAGATACCCCTCAATTACCTCAACCATCATGTCCAAACAAAGTGGCCTGATAGTGCCACATGTCCATGCCAAGATACCATGTTAATTTTGGTTCCCACAACCGTCCCCAGTTTCCACTTTCTTTGATCCAAGTGAGATGGAAGTTGAAGCTTTCCAGTGGGGAGGATTTTAGGGGCTAGGCCAGGTGCCTCCCAACTTTTAAATTTGATGGAATATGATATCAGAGTGCCAAACAGCATGCCTAATTGAGTTAGTAAGTATTAGGGCTTATGCATGGAATGCCTAGCTAACCTTGGGCTTGTATGAATAGTGCTTAACCGAGCTAGGACTTTCATGAGTAATGCCTAACCGTACTAGGACTTACACGAAGAATGCCTAGCCAAGCTAGGGCTTTCATTACTAATGCTTAACCGAACTAGGGCTTACATGAAGAATGTCTAGCCGAGCTAGTACTTTCATGATTAATGCCTAGTCGAGTTAGGGCTTACATGAAGAATGCCTGGTCGCGCTAGGGCTTATGACAATTGTGGGAACCAAAATTAACATGGTATCTTGGCACTATCATGCTATTTTGTTAGGCCATGATGGTTGAGGTAATTGATGGATATCTCAACTAGGTGAGTGGACAGAGGTTATCACCCAATTATGGGGCACACTCCTATCTAAAATGGAGGAATAATCTGAATCATTTATCATCTTGCTCACTATAAGGTTCACATTCCAGTACAATGAGGTACACAATTTCTCAGACAAAACACCATACTTCTATCTTCGTCTTTATGAAACTTCGTTCTTAGGCATAGGAATCCCGTCCGGCCTTCATCAGATGGGGCACTAACTGTGTGGCATTTTATAGATTTATGGGTGTGGTTCATTTCTTCGTTGATATCTTCAACAACACTGGGTTTTTGTCGATTATGAGAACCTGGCATATCATCAAGCTTTTCATTTATTTTAATTTTGCAGTTCACAATTAATGTTTTATGACTTTAGAATGTGTTGTATGATATGGTAGAATTTATAACACGCCAAGCCACTAGTTTAAAATTGCCAAAACATTCACACCAACCCAATGGTTTTGTGGTCATGCGAGTTGTTGTCAACCTTTAGGTGGTGTTTGTTTGGAAGGATTTAAATATGGATTAGGACTAATAGTTCATCCGGATTAATAATTCGTTGTTTGATTGAAATTTTTTGCACCAAACTATGAATCCCAAATCTATAGGGGGGGGACACGGATTAAGATAACTCATTCCATGAAGTTTGGTAATGAAATTACATTTTTTACGCTCTATTATTTAATATCTTTTTGAAAATAAAATTTATTTATCAAATTATTTATACTTAATTTATTTATTAAATTATTTATACTTAATAAATTTATTTATTAAATTATTTATACTTAATAAATTTATTTATTAAATTATTTATACAATTATACATAATAAATTATTTACACTTAATAAAATTTATTTATTAAATTATTTATACTTTATTAAATTATTAAATTTAATAATATGGTCTTAATTATACTTAGTAAAGTAAAAAAATTTAAAATCTCAACTACAAATTAAAATAAATTTATGTAATTTTTATTAATATTCTATTTATTTAAAGTTCTAGCAAAAAAACAAAATAAAATTTATAATTTAGATTTAATATTCCTATTATTTAGTAAGTAATTCAAAAAGGCAAAATAGTCTTTTGAGCATTTATCCTTCTCCATAATATCCCAAACAAACACAGGATTCAATAGAATAGTTCAATTCAGACATCTAATTTCATAACTAAACAAATATAAGATACAAATCAATCCAACCAAATAGTCCGAGGACATTGTATCCCATGACTAACAGTTCGATGGATTACAATCCCCTCTTATCCAGTCCGTCCAAACAAATATGCCTTTAGGCCATGTTTGTTTGGGTGGACTGGATTAGTATCCCCATGACTAATAGTCCTAAGACTATGAATCCGTTGGATTATGTATCCTACTAATAGTCAAGTTTAAAATAATTAGTCCGTACTTCAATTGTTTAACCAAACATCGGATTAATAATTTTATTGAACTATTAGTCCAATCCCAAACTCATGTCCACTCAAACAAACATGGCCTTAAAGTACAATTTGGTTAAGATTATTTCTCACAAACCACCTAAACTAACCCACACACCCATTAAGAGAGAAAAAACAAACTTTTCCAAAATTAGAGGGCTAATTAGCACCCCTTCACTCTTAATTGTGGTATTCAACCACTTTTACTTTAAATCAAGTTGCATTGTTACTTTTTCATCATCAAATGTTAATAAGGCTAATAAAACTTGTCATGTAATCTATATTCGATTTTTTTTTTTCGTATCATTTGCACTTGCACTTTCTTTAAAATCTCATTTTATTTTTCAATTTCACTAAAATCTCACTCAGGTTCTCCACTCCAATTTCTATCAGCCTCATTAACGGTAAATAAAAAGAAATGTGATTTTGGTGGGTATAGAGCTGTTGTGTAAGCCTCATTAACTTCAAGCCAAATTGAGTACAAAATATTGTCAAATTTTAACAGTTCCAATAACAATTGCATTACAGCATTTTCTCTTGTCGTTGTCCAACTTAGCAAGAATTAGAGCAGCTACATTAGATACTGAAATATGAACAAAATATCTCTTCCGCTTCAAACCAAATAATCATCAAGACAGTTAATCCCAAGGGAGCCCTTTCCAATTGCATGAAGAAAAACTTAATTTAGATTTTTTTTGACAGAGAGAGAGAGAGTGTGAAAGAAGTCAACAATAATTAAGATTAGTGTAATGCTATATAAAAAAAATCATTAAAGATAAGTATTTTTTCAATTGAAATCATTTATAAACATCATGAAAATTACATTAAACTGAATCATCTGTGAGCCCAATACCATCATAGCCTCAATACAATAAAGAACCCTAATAGTAATAAGAAATAAAATAAAAATCTTTTGACTTTGACAGTAATTAATATCCTTATAAATCTTGACAGTCACAGTAAATAGAATCCAAAGGATTTTAATGAAGGGTCATGCCATAAACAGAGCAGGTTATGAGAAGTAGAAGTATAAACCCCTTGATATCCTAATTCCCAGTGCCCTTCGGAAAAATAAATTAGTGTGCGAAGAATACACAAATTTTAATTAGTTTAAAATGATAGCCTCCATATTCAAAAAGAGTAATGGGCACAAATCAAAGTGTGGATCTCATTATTTTTCACAAATCAAAGTGTAATGTTCACACTCCAGTAGCGTCTGAACTAAATCAAACTCGTGTCTTTCGGCACCTCTCAATCAAGGGCAACAAAGCGTTTGTTGTTACACTACAATCCCAAAATGTTTTGGCAAAAATTCAAAAAAATCCCAAAATGTTTTGGCAAAAATTCAAAAATTTAGTTGGAAAATATTTTTGTGTCCAACAAAATATAAGTTAATTTTAACAAACTTAAGTGGAAATTATTTTTGGCATTAAATGAAAAAGCCATCACCCCCACCAAAACACTACCATCGCCACCATGACTGTCATAAAATATTTTTTATGGAAAACATTTTACACAAAAAATATTTTTCTGCCAAAACAAACAGTGTAAATGTTATATGGAGAGAGGAATGACCACAAAAACCCTAAAACATAAATCTTTCCACCATTCCTGGTTGACCAATGTATAGACAAATCTACACATTGGTCAACCAGGCATTTGGCCGAGTGGTTGTGTAACACCCTTTGTGTGTGAAGTCTCAGGTTCAACTCTTATGGAATTGTGGTGGGTATTTATTTCTCCCTCATAATGGGAATTGTTGTTGGGCTTGGACTTAGAAAGCTACGCTTGGTAGGCTTTGTTGACTTTTTATCTATTGTGGGCTCGTAATCTGTTTGATGATGTACTATTTCCCATACTTATAATTACTTTCTTATTGATTGAAAAATAAACAAATAATATACATTGGTCATGGCACAACTTCTAATCCTCACCAAAAATTTTACCCACATCATTAGACAATGGAAGCCGGTGTTAATTTCAACATTCATCGGCATTTACCAGGGAGTTTCAGAGCCTCATTATCTTTACATGAAAATAAAATCAAAGTTCTAGATTACTAGTTAGTTAAGATCAATATGAACAAACAATCATAGAGAATGTAATAATAATAATAATAACAAAAGAAAGACATCCAGGAACCACTGTCATTCACCAAGACACTCTTCTGAAGCAATGGTTCAAGAATGTCAGCACACATATTTTCTAAAAAAAAATTATTTTGGTTTGGTACGTAACATTTATCGAACTGCTTTTGGCAGTTTTGGTAGCATAGCAGGTGCATACGAGAAAAAACACCCCGATGCTTAAAAAATTGGACAAGGGTAAACAAAAACTGACAATATTATACCAGCCTACCAGAAACCACATTTTAGATGGATAACTCTCTTAGTATCAGCTCCAGCACATTCAAATCGCATATTTAATCCAAGAAGTCATCACGTCTTAAGAATAACGGTAGTGCTACATGTACTAATTAGTGTACCAATACTAGTTATGATATTATTATTGACCCCACTCATTATACAAATTACAAATACCAAAAACTTCTTAAATGATGCCACATCATCAATTAGTACATTAGTTAGTACACTAATTGGTGCATATAACATTATTCTAAGAATAATTAAGTTACCATCTAAAAAATGAAGTCAAAAGCAAATCAAATTTCACACTAGCAAGAGAACAACAGACCAAGGCATCTTTGCAGCATGAAACCAAGTTTCATTTTCACCATTCTTCAATGTTTGCAGCACATATTTGTCCTTTGTTTTAGTATTAGCATATACTATAAAGCAAGGAACAAGGCACTTCAGACATACCTTGAATTTTTCCTATCTAGTCTTAGCCATCAAACAGAAAAATGTATCACTGGAAGAAGATGCAAACCTTTTGACTTCTATCTTTCACTTCTTTGTACCAGACGTGCTTCCTGAATTCATCCCCTGAAGGTTCAGCAAAAGTTCATCCGAGTTTAAGAACAGACGGTTGGCAGATTTAGATATTGTCTGTGCAATATCCCGTGCAGCTTCAATTTTCCGGAGTGTAAGAAATGACTGATTCTTGGAAACAGCTTCGCCAATCAGTTGAGCACTCTTGGCTTCACCCTGGATATAAAATATTTTTGACAACAATATGAGAGAAAGAGAGAGCTCATATAAACATACGGATGATGTTGAAAAGCACTTCTCTCACCTGGGCTCTAATAATAGCACTTCTCTTGTCCTGCTCTGCTTTCTCAACAACAAACTTGGCCCTCTCAGCTTCTTGTGCAGCAATTTGTTTTGCTTCAATTGCAGCAGTAAACTCCTTCCCAAAAGTTAGGCCTGTGATAGACACATCGTCCAGGGCAATGTTGAATGCAGCTGCTCTCTCTGTCAAAATTTTTCGAATTTCCCGACTAACAGCCTGTAAACAACAAATCAACAATGAGGTTGGAGAAAAAAAATGATCTACTAAGTTTTTAATCGACAATCCGAAGAAAGTTGTGAACTGTCTATAGGAACTCCAGGAACGGGATTTTAATCATTATTAAAAAAAAAAAAAAAAAATTTGACCATTATAGAATGAATTTGCAAAGAAAAAGGGGAGGGGAGGGGGGGGGAATGTCTGACTGACCTCTCTCTGAGTGATCAGTTGGCTTGCATTGTATTGGGCAACCATGGCTTTCAGTGTTTCATGAACTATAGAAGGCAACACTCTCTCATTATAGTTTTCACCAAGAGTGCGGTAGATTGTTGGCAACTGATCTGGCACAGGGCGTGTAAGGACACGAAGAGCTATCTTAACCTATTCAGCACAAATAGCAGGAATTAAATACCAGAATAATTAAAGACAATCGACCTCCTAGCATATAGCAATGCTAAATAAATATTAATGAAAATAATAAAGCCCAGATCAAATAACAAGAATCAAATCTACAAAAGGGATTTAGAAAGATCAGAATGCTTCCATAAATTAACCTCCTTGACTACCATATAAAAGTGAAACCTTATTTCGAGGCACATAATTCTTTTTATCCAGGCTTCAATCAAGAGTTCAAACACTTTTAAATTTATGAAGAGATCAAGTATGCCATATCTGGAAAAAGTCACTAAAATAAACCAGCAAGTTTTGTTGTCATTTTATTTTGTGCATGATAAATATAAGAAAATCTGTAAAACAAACTTACCATTTGGAGATCGTGACTCCCCGAAGAGCTCTCAACAAGATTGGGACGTGCACGAACATCATAAACAATAGGCCTTTCAAACCAGGGAATCATCAAATGTGTTCCTTCAGGATAAACCTAGACACATTTTATGTTAGTGCAAGCACAAAATGATCCTGTTTGTCAAAATGAATTTAGATAGAACGCAAGTAAATAGAGATACTGATTCTATATCACTGAATAAGTAACCCTTTCATAGTTAATAATATAATAAAATAAAACGTAAGTGGATATAAAATAAAAATGAAATCATGCTTCTCCATTTTATGTGATACCTTGCTAAAATGCTAACTTCAAAATACACAAACCCGTCACAGGTAATTAAAATAGCCTTTGGCTCATGCCTAAAAGTGCAAACATCAAATGGGAGATGAACCTCATGTGCCAAAACAAGGTTGTACATCTTGACGTTCTTATATTACACCAACAAACAAAGGAGAATCTTATTACAAATTGGGACTTAATTAAATGTTATGAGCATAGTTGTCAAATCGAGATTCGAAACATGAATTGAAATGCCTTTTATTGAATCGCAAATCGAATAGAATCGAATCGTGAGTCATAAAGATTCAATCACTTTTTCTAAATTACTTAGAAAAATTTATCTACGCACTTAGATGTTAAATATATCTTATAAATATGAAATATTCATACTTAAATCAATAAAAATATTGTTTCGAATGATGATCACATGGTCTGATTGGTAAGAATGAGCATTTTTCAACCTCGCAGGTTTCTTCAACAATTTAATTTCCTTTGGGGTTTTACAACAGAACAAAAGTACAAAAAAATTCCATCTAAAGAAAATCCACTGCACAATGTTTATAACTTTATATAGAAGTGATCAAAGTATAAGACAAGGCCATATTTGAAAATAATGGCTCCTATAACTTGCATTAAGTTGAAAGCACATATTAAATGGGCAAAATTTCACAAATAAACAAAACAAGAGAACCAGGGCATCTCTAGTTGATCAATCTTTCTCAATAAAACTGCTTGTTATTAGACATACTTATGGAGATGTATCCCTCTGCCAGAAAGGACTCCAATATAATGTGTGCGCCAAGTTATTGAGAACATAGTTTCATCAAAGCCATCAAGAGTGCATTTGCTTTCAAAAGTAAAATAACATAATAGACCTGATACTTTTTGAAATTACAGATGCATATCCTATTGTAGTTTCTCATTCACTATTATGGCAAAGTAACGGACTAATGTTCCGTTTCCACAAGACAGATTGATCTAGGAAAAGAATATAGGGGGTATTGAATGTCCATGATGCAAACAAATGACTTCCAATATATTAAAGAACAAGAAAAGGAAAATAAACAAACATTATTTTCAAGGTCAAACAATTTTGATACCAAGAAGACGCAAGGATGGATGCCTATGTTTAATAATATAGGGGGTATTAGGGAAAAAGCAAAAAAACTAACGAGGAGCCAAAATAGAGTTGAAAATTGAAAGCAAGTATTTCAAAAAGGGTTTCTGGTAGAGTTTCAAAAAGGGTTTCTGGTAGAGTAGAACCAACAACTTATTTTGGAAACCCATAACCTTAGAAGAAGCAAACTGCGAGGGTAAAGTTTACCTTGTCTTTGACACCAACAACACGGTTGAACACAACAGCTCTATGGCCTCCCTCGACATTGTAGAAACTGTTATAAGCAGCATACAGACCAATTCCTCCAATAAGCCCTACCTTAGCCAAAGCAGAAGTTGCCCCTGGCACCTTGGGGATATTAACATTGCTCATATCTGTATTCCTGGGAGGATGAGAAATGTGGTATCCAAAACCAGAAATTTAATTAAGTAAATTACAAGTTTTAAAAGTAACCTTACAGCCCATATACGAGGAATGAGATATAAATAGACATAGCAGCAGACAGGAAAACAGAAAAATTGGCACTAGGATAATACAGATTTTTTTTCTTTGTTTTTTGATAACCAGGTGTCCGGGCTATTTAATTCATTATTATTCCCAAACATTCCTCTCATATGAAGACAAAGCACCAAAAGGGTATGAAACAATGAAAAATAACTTCGAAAATTTGTAACTAATCTAGGAAATAGTGCAACAAAACCAAGGAAGCCAGTAAATTGGAAACAAGTCAAACAAATTGAGTTCACAACTAGCAAGCACTTGCTTACTCTTTCTGTCACGAAAACAGAAGTTTAATAATGAAAACCAAATTAAATGAAATTTAAAAATGAAAATCTAGTTGAAGCAATACAAAGTTGTTTGCCAGTTCTCTTGTATGCAAAGACTTAACTGGTGCATTAGGATGTTAGACAGAATTTAATTCTGTATAGAAAAAAATATAAAGAAAGAAAAGAACATCAGCCTGAACAGGAGCATAGTTATTATTAGATGCAAAGCAATGATGTCACAATAATGGCAGAGTTCATGAAAATTCACCAGTGGCTTCGTCATTATAAGTACAGTTTCGATTATTAATAGCCCTGCTCTGGATAAGCAAATATGTTAAATGTCCATAAACCACAAGGGAACCCTTGGATTCATATTTGGGCAACTAAGGCTGTGTTTGATTCATGGATTTGGAAAGGAATTTGGAAAAGTAAATGGAAAAGGTAAGTGAAACATGAATAAAATATAGCTATATTTCACACACTTATTTCATTTTGTTTTTCGAATCCCTTCTCCAATCTATGAACCAAACAAAGCCTAAATGATCTTTAATAAGAATAATTACAAGCTAAACAACTTCAAGGAATAAAAACAGCAAAATCAATAAATGATTTAATCATCTTTCAGATTTTGTCAAGGTAATATTTGATTGCCACGAATCATTTCACAAAAAATACAAAATCATTAGTGACTATTCTTGCGATTAGGTCGGTCCATTCGATCAAGGTAGAACTATATGTTATTGTGTGCCTCTAAGCTCTAATCAATCATCTAGTACATATATGATATCATCTTGAAATTAGCAAGTAAAAGGCTCCAATTACAAATTTAGCATTTCATCAATAATACCCAAATCATATTAAGTTCATACCCAATTAAACAACAAGGCACACAATCAATTGACATTCAAATCAGGTTCATAACAAACATTTGACTTATATATATACACATACTGATACATAAATGCATTATGGAAAATGTGAACCAGGAAGGAAAGTGATTACAGAAATGCATTATGCATCATGGTTCTCTATAATCATATAAATGGTTTCACGCTATAAAAATGACATTAAACACTAAATTTCAACATACAATGCACAATGGAAGACGATTCTAGCAACACAATGATGAAATGTAACTATGAAATCTAACCTCCTCCTTCTTCTTCTTCTTCTGTAGAGAGAGAGAGAGAGACTGAGAGAGAGCAGGGTTTAGGGTTTATATTTTTTTGAGCTTTCTTTTGCTTCAAGTTATAATAATATCACAAAAGGGCCCTCTATTCATGTTGAAATATCAACAGCTGCCCCTACGGAAAGGGTGGCTATCGTGTTGAATTGAGTTTTTGGGGAAATTGTAATTAAAAATTTTAGGGTTTGAGTTTTGTAACAAAATAAACTCTTGATTTTTTAATTTTTATCATAAAAGGCTTTCAAAAAATAAAAAATTCAAGTATAAATGTTTACATTAATGCTGTGTTTGGTTGAGAAGGGATTTGGAAAGAGAAATGGAAAAAGTAGGTGAAATGTGAATAAAATATGTATGTATTTCACATAGTTTCACACACCTTTTCCCTTTTCCTTTCCAAATCCCTCCTCAAATTCTCCAACTAAACACACCATAAAAGTTTAAGGAATGATTAAAGATTTTTTTTTAAAAAATTTTATTTTATAGGAAGGAATGATTAAAGTTATTATGATTAATATTAGTTTAAAAAAAATTCGTTTTTTATATTATTATTGTTTCAGGTTAATTAATGGGTTTTCCTCTTGAACCAATTTTCTACTCTATCATTGATTGTTATACTATTAAAAATTTATAAAAACGGAATATAATTTCTAAAATTATAAGGAGCATTTCATATTTTAAGAAAATCTCAAAAAATGTATTTAAAATTTAGGATAAACTACAATTATAGTTCCTAAAGTTTAACATTTTTTCCATTTAAGTCCCTAAAATTTTAATTTTGTCAATTAAGTCCTTTGGGTATTAAATAAAAATCAATTTAGTCCCGAAGACAATAGAAAAATAAAACATAAGCCCAGTAGTTATATAAAATTGTTATAAGGTACGAATTTTAATTTATTGTTACTTAATTATCCTCTGATGTATATTTTAGAATTTGTTTCAAAGTATAATTTATCAATTTTGCAAATATTAATATTGCATTACAAATAATTATTGAACAAAATAATAATATAATCAGATTGTTAATGAAAATCTTAAGGAAAATCAACTTGAAATTATACATAAAGTTTGACATATATTATTAGATAAAAATAAGCAGCTAACTCTTGTAAAAGATCAAGATAAAATAATACAGATAATTATCCATATCCTTATTAGGGGAACTCTTCCAGAGAAAATTTTGAATTAATACCACTAGAAGAACAAAAAAGTGAATCTAAGTAATTATAGTCTAGAATTATAAATAATGGTCATAATAAAATTAAATATAAAATAATATTAAAAATAACTACAAAATTAGACAAAATGAATAATTATGTATTAGAAGAATTAAATAATCGTATAATAGAAATAGAAAAAGACTTACATAAGCAATTAGGATTAATTAGTCTTGGCGAAATATACCAGTTCTAAAAACACATGCACAAAGATAATTAAATTAACAATAAATTGCAGGAAAATTTGGCCAAATGTCACGTCCCAAAAATAATATAAATAATCCATTCCATAAGATTTATGAACATAATAGAAATGATATCCTTACTTTCATCAGAATTTATATTACAAAAGGTATTACATGCACTATACATTCATAAATATACATCATGGATCTATAGTATGTAATATTAGTTAATAACAACAGAATAAATGTCCTATGGGCTTACATCTTTCCGAGACATAACTTGGTTACAACAAAAAAAAGAGTCATAAGCTCTATACATTTAAAGCTCTTGGCTTAAATAAACATTTAAACACAAAAATAACAAAATAATTGAGTCTTCAGCTTCTAAATCCTCCCAAGCTATGTCCTTGGAGGAGGCATGTCCCCTGTACCTGAAAATGGTTTCCCAAATGTCACGACCCAAACCCGTCCCTGTAAGTTTAGTGTCGTAACCGGGCAGTAATCCTTGGATTACCAAAGGTCTCTTAACATAATAATGTATAATTAGAGGTTACGGAAGCAAATACATAAAATATACATAGTCCATCGTGCTGTGAAGGCATACATGGGACATATAATCTTAAACTTTTATAAACATATGAGTGATTTCAAAAGGTACTGTATTTACACGTCACTTCGTGCACATAAAAAACAGAGAAGCTAGTTCATGGAGCAAAAGAAACAGTCTTATATATTCATAACAACACAGCCACTAAACTTGACTTAATCCGGAACCTCCTCCGGAGGCGCAAGGTTGGCTGACAAAAACTGAGACGCCAGGTTCTCAACTTTAAGCTTAGTCATGTGCTTGATCACCTACATACATAGTATAAATAGTGAGCTGGAGCCCAGTAAATAATAACAGAGTAAAGGATTAAATGAATGATGTCCCATGACTAAGTTAGTTACATTTGTATTTTTATTCAATTCATATACAGAATTCAGAATTCATGCTTGATCATACATGGTTTATCCATTAGTGCTAACGGATCACAAACAGAGCATCATAGATTATACTTGTCAGTTCCATAGAGGAACCTCTGGCCGGGTACAGATAACTTGTTAGTTCCATAAAGAAACCTTCGGACTGGGAACAGATAACTTGTCAGTTCCATAAAAGAACCTCTAGCCGAGTATAGATAACTTGTTAGTTCCATAAGAAACCTCCAGTCCAGTTACAGATAACATACTTTGTTCATAGCATGATCCCACAAACATTTGTCAGAGTTGGACAATCATTCATAGTATAAAACATGGCATTTCGTAGAACAAATTTTATTCCATATTCAGAAAATAATTTAATTTGAACATAGCTTTACTAAGTTATTACTTATAGATAACAGATGGCTCTAAGTAATGGACAGGGTAGGCAATTCAAATATCTTGTGGCATGTGACCTACACAAATACAAAACGAATACGTACTAAATTACACATCTGGAATCATTAACTTAGTTTTTTTTTGTCTTGGTGTGTTTCTACATCTTTATCCTCATTATGATGTCTTAATCTTGGCCTAGAAATACCTAGGATAGAAAGAAGATGCAAAAATGCACTTGAAAACACTTAACAAAAAGTGCTAAAAGTAGGGTCTTCGCTCGAGCATGACTTTCTACGCTTGAGCGGACATGCAAAATGTGAGTGGTTGCTCAAGCGCAAGATCCGTCGCTTGATCAGTCTGTAAACTTTTGTAAAAGTGCTGGTTACTTGTTTTTTCCGCTCAATGCTCGCTCAAGCGTGAGAAACATGCCCTCGCTCGAGCGTAACTTTTGTTGCTCGAGCGGACTGTAAAACATAAGAACTTCTGGGAGCTTGCATTTCACGCTCAAGCGGACTTCTTGTCGCTCGAGCGGAAGTACACGCACTTAGAGTGATCGCTCGAGCGTGGATTCCTTCACTCGAGCGGAAGTGCAAAATCTAGAATTTCCAAATTGTACTATTTATCTCAAAACTTGAATCTAACTCATCAAAACACAACTCTTGGCCCCCAAAACTTGAGAAAACAAGTTTAGACTTTGAAAACATTAAGAATTAAAGATCTTTTCACAAAATCAAGGCCCAAGAGTAAGTCAATTGTGCAAAAATTCAACTTGAAATGTAAGAACATATTATGAACATAACATGCATGTATTCACTTGGGTTCATGACTTCCAAAACATGATCAAATGAGGTCCAATGGTGAGAAATGGTATGAGTTCTTCAAACCATGCTAGAATTACAACATGCATGAGAGAATATCTTTGAAGACAACTTCAAAATGTCATGAAATATGAATGCATGCATGGTATGATTTATACTCTTTTATTTTAGTTCAATTTCAACTTAATTCTCTTGTATTCATGAACTTACCAATTCAAAAGCAAGATTATAGACTTGAATTCTTACCTAATACTTTGGATTCACAAGTGTAGAGGCTTAAATTTCTAAACTCTCCTCAAGTTTCCAATAATTCCTAGCAATTCACCCCTTCTCCCTTGTTGAACTCACTCTCACTTTTGGTCTCTCTCTTTTCCCACGTTTGTAGCTCAAAAAGAATGAAATGAGAGTGTATGATGCATATAAGAGTCCACTAGTGCCTTAGTTAGGCTTGGATTAAGGAATTCATCAATTAGTCTTAATTGAGCACTAATTACTCTAATTTAATCATTCCGAATTGAATTTCAATTAAACTCACCATAAAATTCTAAAAATTCCAATTAACACATAAATCAAGACAATTTCTAAATCGGATGCCGATAAGGCCTTTAATTCGCAGACCGAAATAAAAGCATGAACAGATCTTTCTATGTTAACAGATATAAACACAAAATAATGCAATGCACATGTAATTAACTAAGGATTTATTCCTAATTACTTGTTAAGAATAATTAAGCATGGATTAACGTTAAATCATGGATTGGGGTTGTTACACGTAGCAGAGGACACAAACGAAGCCATGGTCTGTTTTGGGAACAACCATAGATAAAAACAGTAATATGGGATAACATGGACATGGTTTACAAGTTATCAGACAAATTTTGCCCTCATGTGGACCTAGGGTATGTGTGCAAAATTGGGGAAACCATGCATGATTGCCTTCCTTCATACTTTTGTCCCAAATTACATTGTAGCCAAGGATAGGAAAGGTAAACAATTGGCACCTTCTAGTCCTACACTTGTTTTTTTAAATTTTGTGCATCCCAATTTTTTCTGGAGGTCCATACTGTTAAGCACAGATTAACAAGCACAATTTCCTACTTTATGATGCAGTACTTATTATTTACAAAAGTGTTTTATCGTAATAGATTATATGGAAATATGTGAAGTACCCATGTCAGACACTTGACCTAAGATATACATCCAATATGTTTGCTTGGTCATATGCACCTAACAAGTATGCATCTCTGTAACTATGCATAAGTCTCATATTTTGTGGCATTGTGCATAAAATGCTCTATGTTACTTTGTGGACTGCAATTTGTTCTTTCAAATTTAAAGTATGTAACAAATATATTACCAAGCAGGTTGCTTCCTTGGTTGGAAATCAAAGCTGTTATCCACAACCA